CGCCCTGGGCCAGCCTGCCAGCCACGGCCTCTGGGCCCCTTACTTCCTCCTGCGGTCTGTCCCTCCCCAGGTCTTCATCCTGGAGGAGCTGCTGAGCCCCATAGTGACGCCCTTCCTCCTCATCTTCGCGCTCCGGGCCAGGGCCCTGGACATCATCGACTTCTTCCGCAATTTCTCCGTTGAGGTGGTGGGGGTCGGGGACATCTGCTCCTTTGCCCAGCTGGACATCCGCAACCACGGCAACCCCCAGGTGCAGCGGGAGGTGTCTTTGCAGCTGGGGGGCGGGGGATCGGCCCAAGAGCTTCTTGGCTGCTTTGGGAGGGTGTTGCTCTTCAAATCCCACGGAGTTTTTGGGAGCTCCCCCCCAGTACAGCCCACTGAGATGGAGCCTGGGATTGGGGCTCTTCAGGGGACCAGCTGGCTTCTGTCCTGCGCCGACGCGCGCACCATTTTGGAAGAACAGACCTTGACAGGACAGGTGCCTGGAGGGGAGTCAGCTCAGCTTCCTTTCTCTCCCTCCCCCACAAGTGGCTGTCCCAGGGCCGGACGGAGGCATCAGTCTACCAGCAGGCAGAGAACGGCAAAACAGAGCTCTCGCTGGTTCACTTTGCCATTGCCAATCCACGCTGGCAGCCCCCGCCGGAAAGCTCCCTCTTCATCGGGCACCTGAAGGAGAAAGTGCATCACGACGCCTCCCATGCCCAGCGCCTCCTGGCTGAGGGACCGTTAGGAGCCTCCCTGCTTTCCGACGAGGGCCCTGGCCCTGTGGTCAGTTGGGGGCAGCTTTGGCCTGCGGGTGGGGGCTGCGGCGCCCGCGCGTCGCTGGCTGAGCTTTTTTTCTTTGCAGCCGGATGCCCTCCTAGCTAGCGTTCTGGCCCGTCCCGTCCTCGCGGCGGGAAGCCTGGCTGCCCTGGCAGAGCGCCGCCTCCTTGCTCGGCCCGGGGGCACAGCTGGTGCAGCTGCCAGCGTCCTGGCCTCCCTCTCCTGCTCCCAGTTGCCCCGGCACAGGACCCGTCCCGGAGAGGCCTCTGTGTGCAACAGCGAGAGCCCCCTTCTGGAGGACAGGTACAGGCTGGGGGTCGGCCGCAGGTGCCCCCACCACCACGACATGCTGGGTCAGGCCGCAGCCCAGCCGGCCAAGCCCAGGGTGGTCCTGGGACCCCGACCCCTGCCCTCGGCTGTTTGGTGGGGGTGCTGCAGACTTGCTCCACGCTGATCTGGGCTCCACCAGGAAAGGTTTCTGTGCGTGCCAGCTGTTGGCCCTGTTTTCACAGGGCCAACCCCTCTTCCCCACAAGGAAACGCCTCTGCTGCTCCTCTTGGACCAGAGTCCCTTAGCTGAATTCTTCCCAGCTCAGCTACCTCGCTGGCTGGGCGGGGGGGCCTTGAACAGGGGGCTCAGCCCTTCCGCATCCATGCGTGGAGGAGTGAGGAGGGGGCTGACTGTGTTTTTGCTCCCTTGCCCAGCAGCGCTACTCGGTCTGCGGTGCGCCCAGTTCCCCTCACCCGCTCGGTTCTTCTGTCAGAGTTCGCCTCAGCTGAGATGAGTCTGCACGCCATATACATGCACGAGGTGAGCGGCTGTTCTGTCTCCAAAGGTGGGCGGTGCTTGGGGGCACAGCGTGTCCCGGTGAAGGGCAGGGAAGAAGCGGGCCAGCTCAGCTCGGTCCTCTCCTGCGAGCCCCCCGATGACTCTTGCGGGGAAAGGAGCCCCCACCTGTAACCACCACCCCTCCTCTCCTCTCACTCCAGCTTCACCAGCAGCAAGCGGCGGCCCGCCTTCCTTCGCAGTCTTCGGCACGAGCAGGTCAGAGCCGGGGAGGGCAGGACTGTACCACTTGCAGCCCCCTCCTTCCCCGCGTGGTGGCGGGCGGCGGGGAGGAGGGCTGCGTGGAAGGCCTCTGCCGTCACGCTGCGTGCCTCTCCCAGTGCCTCTGCTGCTTCCTCGGAGGACGGCTCTGGGCGAATGGTGCCTCCCAAGAAATAACCCCCTTCGCAGTCGAGGTGCCAGGACAGGAGTTGTCGTCTTCTCCCAGCTGGACCCATGTCACGTCCTGGTCATGGTGCACAGAGCCACTCCTTGCAGGCCCACCAAGGCCAGGCTGTGCCCACATCGCAGGGCAATGCTGGGGTCCTTAGCCCTGCACGTCTGTGCCCTGGAGACATGGGCAGTGGGAGAAGGGGTGCAAGCCTGGTCCCCTGTTTCTTGGCGCAGCATCCCCTCGGCGCCCCTTCGATACGCGTGCCCAGGATGGCTCCCTGGGGGGCTGGGAAGAGGAGTCAGCTGAGAGGCACCAGCAGCAGCAGCAGCAGAAGAGCTAGCAGGAGCCCTGCCCTCCATTCTTCCTCTGGCGTAGGTCTCTTCCGCAGACAGGGCTGTCCGTCCATTCCTGCTCTGGGGTGGGATACGAATCCCTCCCTCCGACCGTCTCTGGCTGGTCCCCCCTCTTTTGCATATGGTCTGGGCAGGCCTTAGCCTGGAGGGTGGCCGATGAGTGTGGGAAAGGGGGGAGGAGGAGGAGGCTCCAATGAGGAGCGCTCTGGGCCCCCTGACCAAGTCCAACCTTCCTTTTGCCCTGCAGGTTTCTAGACGGTTGGCACTGCCAAGGTCAGTTCACCAGGACGGCCCTCCTGCGGTCAGAGCGTGACTGGAAGTGGTACAGCCACGCTTCTCCCCACTACGGCATGCCAGGGCAGGAGTGGATCGTGGCTGCCCCTCCTTCACGGTGGACTTGGCTGTGCCAAGGAGCCTCCTCCGTGAGGCTTTCTGGCCCCTCTTCGTGGGGGAAGTGTGCCCTTCTTGGGGGTGAATAAGCTTTGGGGCTGGATCAGGCCCTGCACGGTGCTATTTGTATTTAGGGGGTCCCTGTGGTCAAGAGAGAATGGCACGGAGAAGCTCTTCTCCCACCCCCGTGCTTTTTCCGTCCTCCCTCTAGGTCCCAGGCTGGCCCACCCCCCACCACGCATGCCATGGCGGTTGCATTGTAAGAGAGTTGGGGGGCAATAAATGTTTACAGAAATTACAAGCAAAGAGCCCCGGTTGCCATCTGTGGGAGTGGAAGTGGCGAGGGCGGAGAAATCCCCTAACTTCGCCCTCTGGGGAAAGGCTCCGTTTGCCAAGGGGCTGGATTGGCAGGGAAACTGCTAAGAGGAGGGGACCGGGGCGCCTCCCTTGGCTGGTAGTGGGGGGGGGGGGGGGGGGGGGGGGGGGGAGCCAGTGGGGTGGAGACAGGCTCTGTGACCCCATTGTGGGGAAAGGCTTCCTGGCGCAACTAGGATGCGAGGACCGCTGTGAGCAACGCCAGAGTGGGCTGCTGGAAGGGGCTGTATCCTCTCCCCACGTTGTGGAGGGGAAAGGGGGCGCTTCCCTGCCAGGCCGGAAAAGCAGACTCGCCCCTTGGAGCCCCAGAGGCCCTTCGCTGCCTGCCACAGCTCTGCCCTGCGCCCCACACGCTCCGTTTCAGCTCGGGAATTCTTCTGAGCCAAGATGCGCTCTGCCTCCGTCCCCCGTTGCCGCTCTTGGTTTGTCCCAGAGCAGATTAACGCATCGAACAGCGGGAGACGAAGCGAGATGCGCTTAGTGACAGCCGCTTTTGGCAGACTCGCAAAGGTGCCTGCCTCCTGCAGCCACCTCCTGTGAAAGCGAAGGGAGCCAGGGCGGCTGGAGAGAACGTGTGGTGGAAGCACACTGCTGGGGGATGTTTCTTGAGCGCCGAGGCTCTGCGTTTCACCAGCTGCGTGTTTGTGGCCCAGGAGGTTCCGATTTGAAAAACTAGGTGGGTCTGCTGGCCTGTCCCCCGAGAAGCAGCCCAGGCTCGCAACCTGCCTTCCCACCCCCTGGAAAGAACGGCCTGGAAAGTGTCGAAACAAAGGCTTTAATGGAAGTCTAGAAAAGGGGGGGTCGTAAGACAGCGGGGCTCAGGGGTCCACCAGGAGGGAGCTCTTGCGGCCCTGCTTGGAGAAAGACAGGCTTCGGATGCGCGATGCCACTTCCTGTGCGCGGAAGGTCAGCCCAAAGATGTCTTCGTGGTAGCGGTTTCGGTCCTGGGAGGCCGAAGGGCAGAGGAACCGGGTTGGCCTGTGAGGAAATTGGGTGAGGGCCCCCCACCCCACCCCACCCCAAAACCGAGGCTGAGCGGCAGCCCCCTGCCCCACATCGATCCAGCCTGGCCCTTACCCGGAGTTCGCTGATCAGGTCGCCTGCCTCAACAAGCGACATCCTTCCTTCGTTAGCCAGGATTTGCTGGACGGTTTGCAGGACGCCGGTGGCCATGGTGACATCCCCACAGACGTACACGTGGCCCTCCTGCTGGCTCAGGACCTTGAAGACGTACCCCGCCAGCTGCATCCTCAGCAAGTCCTGGACATAGGTCTGGTGGTGTGGAGAAAGAGCTGGTGGGCCCCGGCCTGTGGGGGTCCAGCTGGGACCCTTGTGAAAGCAGCAGCCACCCCACCAAGGAAGCCACGTGCTCAAGTACCACCCCTGCCAGCCAGGAGCTTAATCTCTCAGTCCGTGCTTCTGAAGCCTCACGGGCACGTTTCTGAGCCTCCCTCCAGGGGGATCCCACCCACCAGGGACCTGTTTCTCCGCTGCACCTGCCTGGCAGAGGCTGCCCTAGGGTCCCGACAGCCTTAAGGAGCGAGAGAGGGATGGGCGCCTCTGGCGGAGGGCTGGCAGTTCCCACTCGGCTACCTTGGGGTAATCCGGGTCCCGGGAGAAGCCGGTGAGGACGCGGCTCAGAGCCCCTTTTTCTTGCGCCTCTCGGATCTCCTCGCAGTAGATGTGGTCATGGCGGGAGCTGCGGCAGCCGAAGACCAAGGTCATCTCGCTCGAGGGCAGGCCTGGAAGGACGTTTGGTCAGAGGGCCAAAAGGGCCCCCTCGGCTCACGGACCCACCCTGGGCCAGGGCCCCTCGACTCACCTCTGGTCTCAATTTCGTGCTGCCGTTGCTGCCAGAAACCCCGGAAGGGGGCAATGCCGGTGCCAGGCCCCACCAAGATACAGGGAGCTGTGGGGTCCTCCGGCAGCTGGAAGCTTGGAGCGCTGTGTAGGGCAAGAGAGGAAGCAAGTTACTTGGGGGGTACCAAGGGGGGGGAGAGGGGAGGGGAGGGGCAGCTCTGGTGGAGTGCAGTACCCAGACAGGGCTGAAAAGGCTCACAGCCTGCTTTAGAAGTGCCATCCCTCCTCAAGGCAACCTCCCTCCGTGCAGCAAAAGCCCAGCGTGAGGGCCAGCACCCTCCTCTGGCCTACGTGACACCCAAATGTACGCAGATCTCCCCGGGAGAGCCGCTCTCTGGATGCGCTCCCCAGATTGCGGCCTCTGAGGAAGAGGCTGCGTCAATCGCGCTGCAGCCAAGGAGGAACTGGGGGCTGGGGAGGACTTCTTAAGGCTCCATTTTAAGACTGCATTTTACAGCATGATTTACTTAGAGGGTTTGGGTTGCGGGCTTCATCGCCCCCCAAATTCTCCCATTGAAAGGAGAGCATCTGGGATAAGAGGGAGGCCTCCGGAGAAGCTTCTCTTCGCTTCTGGGGCTTTAAAGGGATTCCAGAGCCCTTAATGCACTCCTCAAGTGTGCTGCTTGACAACCTCCAGATCTGGTGGAAGACACAGCAGCTGCCTTCGTGTAACACGTTTAACCTGGTCAGCGGCAGAATGGGAAGGGGGAGCCAAGGCCTCCTGCCTCCCTCCCTGCAGCCAGAACAGATCCGCTGTGTGGGAAGCCCCTCTGCTCCATCCTGTGGGGCAGGGATGGCAATGAAGTCTCCAATCTGGCATGCTGGGTTGCAGCCATTGTGCTGCCCGGGGGTTATGAGTTGTGCGTCCGAGGTGTCCGGAGGGTCCGGTGCAGAGAAGGCAACATGAAACTACCCCCAGAGGGCACACTCGGGTGTTGTGCTCCAACTTCTGCCCTGGAGACCTGGAAGTGAGGTGGCTGAGAAGCCTCCAGCCTGGTTTCCAGAAGGGTGTGGGGGAACGTCTCCTGGCTGTGTCTGCAAGTTCCCAAGCGCCCCGCTGTTCCTCCTCCCAGGGAGTCATTGCAGCTTCAGCCCGATTCCCCCAAGAAGAGGGGTGAAGTGCAAAATCCTTGCAACCTTTGCTTCAGCCCAGGCCAGGCTCTGAAATATCTCAGGGCGGGGGGAGTGACTGTCTCAGGAAGAGAATCTAGCCCCCCTCGCTTGAGAGCGTCTCAGTGCAACTTCCCTCCAACATGTATGGGCGCATGTATGGGGTTGGGGGGGAGGAGCGGGTCCAAGCATTCCGGCGTCCGCCTCTGCAGAGCTTCCTTACCTTCGGACAAACGCCGGCACCATCTCGCCAGGGGACAGCTGGGACAGCCACGTGGAGCACACTCCATAGTGCATGGGGCCCTTTCCATCTGGGGGGCAAAATGGGAACTTCGCCGTGAGCCCCGCAGAATTGCCTTCCACGTGCCAGGTGCGCTGCGTGGCCCAGCCCCGGCTGGCCTCCGAGGCCCCCCGATTCCCCCCGCCCCCGCTCACCCTGGCTGTGGTAGTTGAGCACGGCGACGGTGAGGTGCAGCTCTCCCGGGTGGGCGTCTGGCGCGGAGCTGATGGAGTACTGGCGGGCCTGCAGCAGGGGCAGCTGGGTGAGGAGCAGTGAGGTGGGCAGGGCCACCGAGGGGAACTCCTCTAGCAGCTCCACCACCGTGGGGCAGCGAAACCACTTCCACTCCTCGTAGAGAAGGGAGTCCTGCCGGGCACAAGGATGGGCACGTCAGCACAGCGGCAGAGACGGGAAACGAACCACTGCTGAGCCTGGGGCACCGAGGGGTGCTTTAACGCATGCCGTGCTTTAGCCATTCAATTAAGATGGTATCCCGAGCGCTCTGGGTGGGTTACGGAGAAAAGGGGGGGGGGGGGAATAGTATGATACACCACATGAGAAAAGCTCCAGAGGAAGTCCTCTCCCCACAACCTGGGGCCTCAAAGCAAAGCAAAGCCTGGTGGCAACGCGGCTTCTAGGGTGCCTCTTGCCTAGGAGGGAGGCACAGCTGCCTTCAGGGCACCCGGTCAGCTGCCTCTTGCGTCCCTGAGGGCTGGCTGCGCCTGGTCAGAGGGGAGGGCCAGCTTTGATGCCCAGCTCGTTCTTCCTGCCTTTTTAAAAATTATTATTGCCTGAGCAGGTGGTAGAGATGGCATTGGGGAGGGCTGCTCCCCCACTTCTCCCCATGTGGCCGACCGGTGTGGGGGGCAGAGTGAATAGGTGGCAGAGGGGCAGGTGGAGCGGCCAGATCAGTCCTATTTTTCTGACCTGGCCTAGAACCTGGTCTATGGGCAGCAGCAGGGAGAGAGGGTGAAGCTGCTATCTTAGCTGGGCGAGCCAAATGCCCCGGGGCTGTTACGAGCTCAGGGTAAGCTCCTCCGACCGCGTGCTGGCAGGTCAGGGGGCTCACCCCAAACCATCACCCGCCCCTGGGTCGGTAAACACGTCACATGCGCGGCAGGGAACCACAGCCCGAGAGCCACAGGAGGGGATGAGTGTCATTCACACGAGGTATTTAAACGAAGCTTGAATTGACTCGTTTTCCACCCTTGCATAATATACCGGCTAGGGCATTAGAGACATGGTGGATGAGCACTAGGGTTGCAACAGGCCTGGTCAAGCGTGGCCGTTCTGAACCGACCCAACTGCGCGCCTACTTCATTGTCACGCCACCCAGCCCATTCTCAATTAGGGTGTGAATCAGCACACATGGGGCACTCTGTCAAGTGCTGGCCCTGAGGGGGCCCTGAACTGCCTAGTCCAGAAATGAGGCAAGGTTAATTGTGCTTGAGAAAGCCATTTCAACTACCACCCTCTTTCCAAGGGGCATCCACTGTGATCTCTTCAGGGCCTGAGCCAGAATACTGCACAGCATCGATGTCTGCCCGGCACCCCTGCTTTTCTCTGCCAGTGCCTCCATTTTGCCTTGGCATCTTTTTCTTGGCAAGCCACATTCCACTGATACCAAGCTCTACGCTTGCGCTTAAAACAGCCTCCAGGGCGGTGGCTGAGGAAGCTCTCGGCTCTTGCTGACCGCAGGGACGCGCCCAAGCAGCTTTCCCCAGAGGCCGTTTGCCATGGCGCGCTCGGTGGGCGTTCTCCTGGCTTCCCAAACTAAGCTGCCCTG